CTCAGGTTGTCTGTCATTGTTGGCTTCCTGTTGTTCTTGCATTCATGGTAGATTGGTTTGACTTCTGCTCATGTTTTGAGTTAAGACCATCAGTTATTGAAAGATCAACGTATTTGTAACAGGAACAATTGTTTCCACAGACGACGCCAAATTGATGGTGTAAATCAACGTGGTGCAGATTTATGGTGATGAGCAGATGGGATGATTAGTATCTGGCTCTTAGGATCTGAGCTACAAGGCTCGAAAGAGCTATCAATGGGAATTAGGGGATTGACACAATGAAATTATGATGGTTCACCAGCTCAGGAACTCGGCTAATCTACTCTTCAATGGTGATTCTTGCTTCTATTCTCTTTTCTAATCATTCAGAAGGTTTACAGGATAAAGTATATGTTACTAGGATTCTCCCCTTCTAGGGGGCGTTACATAGTATTTATAGGGCTGTCCCTAGTTCTGCGGGATCTGCACCGAAATCCTTGCCATTTTTCTGAGAAACTCTCCTTGATTTTAGGAGAGGATCTTGGCTAGTTAAGGATTTTGCGCCTTGAACATGGCTCTTTGCCACATATAAAATTTTCTTTGTCATCTAGTTGGACCCTTATCATTTTCGCTGTTGGTGCGTCTGGGGGAGAGATCTAGTTCTGATCCTTTGAGCTCTACGTGCCTTTCTTGACCTCTTGGCCTGACTTACTTATCTGACCTACTTATATGACCTCTAAACCTGAGCTCATACTTAAAAATTATTCTAAGTATCATCAACACTAAATAAAAAATATTAAATTTTAATTATATACCAATAATTGATAATATATAAACAATTACAATAAAACACTATAAGAAAATCAGAAACATCAATATATATAGTATAAAGTAGAAATATGAAAATTTTGTAGGTATTATGCATTCCTACCCAAATTTTTTTTTATTTTTTTGGAATACCAAAAATCTTTCATTTGTCTATCCAATTCTTTCGGGTAGCCAATCAATAGAGTCAAGTAAGACCGAAATTTACAGATAATCAAAAATTTGAACACCCATATTTAGGGTTATGGGATCGAAGGCTTTCATGCATTCTTGTCAACGTTCTAGAATGTATAATTAATGGTCGTAAGCCCACATACATAGGCCAGATAAAACCCATTGAGGAATAGATATCAAAGCCTTGGAAATTAGCCCTTTCAGGATTTATGGACAAAATGATTAAGAGTAATACTATTTGGCCTTGAATTTTATTTTATGCCCATTTTGTAGGGGTGCAACTCAAGTGGGTTGGGCGGGTAGAGAGGTCAACTCTAGTCCAATATTAGATATATAATTTTCAACCCTAACCTTACATCAACCTGAATACTGCACGAGTTTAATTCGGCGCGGGCTTGGGTTGAATTCGGGTTACTTAATTTGGGCTATTTTTTGGGTTAAAAATCAAGTTGAGTTCGGGTTACTTAATTCGGGGTTGATAAAATTGGAAAAAGTTATGAGTGAGAGAGGGAGGTTGAGATTTTGAGACGATTCAGAAGAGTGATGAGTGAGAGAGGGAGACTGAGAGTCTGAGATCAGATGAGAGACGAGTGAGAGAGAGATCTAAGAGTGATGGAGGCACAGTGGTGAAAACTTAAAATGAAGTGAAGTGAAAGTCTGGACTCTCAAGAATAAAAGATAAATACTAACCCTAGTTAAATATATTTATATGTTTATGTATATTCAGGGTTCAACCCTATTTAATAATCGGGTTTAACCCAATTTTAATATTCAGGTTGAACCCGACAACACGAAGCCTCATCCCTAGGCTTGCCAGAATTCAATTTGGGTTGGGATTTTTTGACGCAGACTCAACCCAAGTATTAAAAATTCTAATCCAAGCACTGTTTTTTTTTTGTTTTGGGTTTGGGTTGAATTCAGGTTGGTCCACCCAAATTGCACCCCTACCATTTTGTGAGTGTAATGTAAGAAAATTAATATTTAAAAATAAAAATTTTAAAAACTTTCAAGTTGCAAAATATAATTCACCATATGTTATTTGAGACGAAGTCCTAGCTGCCCATATATGCCTATTTCCTCTTACACCATCTGTTTTTTTCTTCTCACCACCTATTAAATTATTTATACTATCAATAAAAGTCACTTATATTGAAAAACTTTTAATTGACCAATATATCTTTATAAAAAAAAACTTTTAAATACCTAATTTACCTCAACAAAATAATCTTAATCAATATTAATGTACATTGATGAGTCCCTATGCATCCATCTCCGCAGAGCAGTATGCGGACACTCAGATTATGCAACAAACTAAATTAAAAGTTATAATTTTATTGCAAACTTGTAGCAAGAAACAAACATGCAATATTTGTTGACAGAGAAGCTCAATGGAGCTTGAAGGACTGAAAAGAAGTCTAGTTCTGGGGGCCAATGAGTTGCAGCCTTAATTTTAATGATATTTTGTGGGTTTTAAGCCCCTAACGTTCCAATATTGAATAGTTGTAGTTACCGATAGTTGTACCTATTGGCTATATAAGGATCTATTATCAACAGCAGTTGTCCTTTACTATACACCACTGTTAACTTTCATTTTCTATTCTTTAAACAGAGACTCCACGTCTCAATCATCACCTGATGTAGTTTATAAGGTTTTCAAAGCTTTCTATTTTCAACAATCTTAGTTTATTTTATTTTGGGTAATTTGATTCGAGATGTGATCATTGAAGAGGTGTTGCTGCGATGATTTGAGTTGGATTTTGGAGTCATTTTGTCCGTCAGTACCTTCATGAGGAGAGACTTAACTGCTTTAGAACATGATTACACGTCACTCAAACTCGCAGGTCAGCTCTTTCTTTTACGCTTATCCTCTATATATATTTGCATACATATGCATATCTATATGTATTATGTTCTATTTTATTAAGTTTAAAATTTAATATTGGTTTTTCTATTAATTAAACTATTGTTCAATTTCTAGATTTTCCATAGTAAATATATAATAGTAAAATCATCCTCGCATATGATGTAGTGGCATATCATCATCTTTGTTTTGGGACTTGTCATTACCTGAGGTTGGTAACATCCAGATTTCCTTCACAAGTACTCTATTCGCTATGAGTTCCCACTTTTAGCAAGAGTTACAACTATTGTTGTTGGTTTGGCCATGACATGCCGATGGTTTAACTGATTGTACCCCTTGTATCTTCAGACTTCTAAGGATTGTAATGCTTGTGAAGAATAATATTTGTGTAAGCTTCTTTTGCGTCATATGGTGGCTTTGATCATAACGTACAATGGTGAAGAAAATCATCCAAGTACACTTTGTATTTCCCTTTTTTTTTTTTTGGTCAAAAGAAATGATTTGTTGGGTGAATTCTTCTGTGAATTAAGTACACATCTGCAACTGGTACGGGAATTGTTTTTAATTGAACTTGCTTCATATTACTTGGTACGTGAATAAAGAGGCTTTTGAGGGCGTCACACCAACAGACACTGGAAAATTCCATTTTAAAAAATTGAGTTATTTGGGATTTATTTGTCTCCAATTTTCTTTGTACTTGTGTTCAAGTTGCAACTCCATGGATAACATTATTGCTCATATGAGTTTTGATATGAAGTTAAAAGTGTGGTGCTTGGGTTAAGAAATCTAAATGTTTCATTAGTGTCCAAAAGAGTTGCATTTTAAAGATGGAACTTTCCAATTGACTGTCACATGTTTATTAAACACTATAACTAATTTTCTAGATGGTTTATTTGTAATATTGGTGCACCTGAAGAAGAGGGAGATTAAAACGATTCAGAGTTTTTCCAGCAGACCAAATATCATAATAACCTTTTAATTTTCTTGTATTCTGTAGGTATGTTAGTGTGACACAATTGAAATTTTATGTTCACATGAATTATCTATTGTCACCAAATATTTGTTACGGGGCATAACTAAAGCAAGTAATTGGTATTTTGGTTTTAGATCCACTTGTTATAGTTTCTATATCCTTTGCTCTCACATTATTATTTTAAGCATTTTTTTATTTTTTTGGTGTTGGTATATGTTTTTGAAATGTCCAAAAGTGAATCATTTCTGCAAACTTTTCAAATGTGGTTTTGATAAACAATTTTTTGTTTTTTTTTTTGTGTGCCGTGAGAGGCATGCAACTCACCTTTTAGTTGGAAGAGAAATAATGTGAACATGTACAACTAATATTTGAGATTACTCATTTACTTATGATTTTATATGTATAAATTGTAAATTCCATATCTTACCGTCTCACTATATAAATAAATTAATAAATAAAATTAAAAATCAAAATTATAATGAAAGTGTTAAAAAAATACATATAAACTTACTTTGTACCTTTTGTTTCTTATCAAAACTATAACTCACTTGTGCCGATCTACGTGTGTGCGTGTCTACGAGTAAATTAAAAACAAGTTCTAAAGTTTTACTCAAGTTTATACCAAATGGAAGAAGACTCAAAATTTTAGTGAAATGAAGACAAATTTAAATATTTATTCAAATTTTTAATGACAATATTTTATCATTTTTTAAAGATCTAATGCTCATATTTCACATCTCTACTTTATATTTCTTGCAATTTCAGCTTGTCCTTTTTTCAATTTAAAGGTTGTTTTTTTTTTAATTTGAATTTGTCCATATGCGTATTTTGTATTAAATTAAATTTTTTACTTTATGGGTTGGAAATAGTTTTCCACCCTTTATCCAACCTACAGGCACAACGGTGTGGATAGGATGAACAAAACAAAGGAGAATGTTGTATAACCAAATGAAATTCAAAAATTAAAATTTAAATATATATCATTCTTTAGATGAACGTAGGATGAATGAATTCCACTAAAAAAATTAATGACACCAACTCATCCAATAAATAATACAGATTTGAATTTGAATTTTTTAAATTTTATTTAAATTTTACAACATTACTCAAAAACAAATCCAATCAAATTCGATCGTACATTAGGTGGGCATCCAGATCAAAAACAGACCAGTAACATCCAGATTCTTACCCAATTCTCCCACCCATCTACTCTTCTTGAGAATGCAATACGATCCCTTCGAAAGAAAACTAAAGAAAGCCGAGTTAAAACTAACCACCTCCTGAACCACCAAAAGCGCCGGCAGTGGCAGTAGCAGCAGCAGCACCAATCACCGAAGAGGAACAAGAACCCAGGTCAGAAGCTCCAAACCCACCACCAAAACCAGTATCAGCAACACTTCTTTCTGATTTTCGCGCTCTTTTCCGTTTCTTTGGCTTTGCCTTGGAATTCTTCGATGCCGCAGAAGCATCGGCACCGTGGAGGTGGTTCAAGTTCAAGGACCGGTCGTAGTAGTGGACGGAATTAATTGTTTCGAGTGATGTCACACAGCATTCTTGCCAGTTGAGAGTTGCAAGGTCCTCCTTTGCCTCTTCCAGAGTGAGGAATGCGTGCGACGAAACGTCGTCGTATTGAAGTGTGGACCGAGATGGATCCATCAGGTCGATTGTCTTCACTGCATCGACCACGACCGACTGCGAGTTTTATTGAAAAAGCAGAAACCAAAAACAGAGAATAATAAAAATGGTAATAAGAGAGTTATTTTAAGGGAAAAAAAATTCAAAAAGTCGATTTCCAGTTTCTGTCACCTTTTGAACCTGGTGAATCTTCTTGAATCCATGCATGCGTATGATCTGTTCAAATTATTCAATTAAAAATTAAAATGCAATTCTAAAACACACTAGCACACAGATTATCTTCCACTGAATGCTTTGCCTAAAAAAATTTTCGAACAATTTAGTCCAGACTAAGTAATAGTAATAACATCTCTCACCTGTTGAAATTAATAAATTAAAATTCATAATTCAATTCTAGAACACACTCGCACAGCACACAGAAACTAGCACACAGATTAGTTTCTGTGGAATGTTTTGCAGAAAAACAATTCGGAACAATAATAATTGATCAACCAGATCATCGGCTACTAAATAAGCATTTCTACACAAAATGCATCCGATAAAGATAAAACCAATTGAAGCTAAATTAAAAAAAAAGTCCGATAAATCGATCTACATCAACTTTGTATAGAGACTGAATCAATTCAAAAGGAAGACAAAAACAGAGATTCCTGTTCAAAAGAAGATCTCTCTTCTTCATTTTCAATTTTCGAAACCTAATTTCTGAAATGAACAGTAAAAACAAGTGAATAATCGAGGTACTCTTCCGGTATACATATATATAGAGAGAGAGAGACACACACACAGAGAGGACCTGATTGAGATAGTTGATGGTGAGAGAGCGAGGATTGTGACTATCAATGAAGTCGAGGTACTCTTCCAGCTTCATCATCCCATTCCTTCGCATTCCCAGATTGGGATTTGCTCCCTGAACTTCCATGTTGCCTTTTCTCAGTGCTGGCTTTGCTACGAGTCTATTTACTGGGTGATAGAGATGTGCTACTATTTATATAGGCAGCTTCCGAAACAAAAATTTTTTTTTTTTTGGGCGGACTGCACTTTGTGATTGTGAAGGTTTTTTTTTGGGTAAATTACAATTTAACCACTTAAGCTATTACCCTTATTTCACTTTGTACCTTCAACTATAAAATTTTTCACATTATACCTTAAAGTATCAATTTTATTTCATATTACTCTAATAGATAATGACTGTCAATTTTTTTTTACAGTAAATGCACATGTAGGTGGTCTGTATTGCTAATAAGAAATTACTTATTGCACATGTGTAGGTTAAAAAAAAAAATGCCTATCTATGATTATGCCCTTCCTAACTCCAAATTTTTTACCTATGGTCGACTTTTTTTTTTCTTCTCAGCAATTATTTGGTTGCAAAAGAGGTAAAATAAAGTGGATACTTGACATTTAACGAAAAGTTTTTTGGGGTTTTCCTCCCTTATTTGATAGATTTTCAAATTTATCGTTATCTATTGGAATGATATGAAACAAAATTGATACTTTAAGATATAATATAAAAATTTTATAATTAAAAATGTAAAGTAAAATAAGAGTAATAAGTTAGGGGCATAGAGTATAATTTACTAGTTTTTTTTTTTTTTTCCTTTGGGTGGATTTAGATCAGGAGTTAAAAGGGGATAATTCTAATAGAGTAACATAAAAAAAAATATGTGAGATCCATAAAATCATAATCACTCCAATAATATATGTGTTTGGGTCTAATAGAAAAATATTTTTTTAGATCTCTAATCTAGTTCAACCCTGTTTAAGACGTGTTTGGATGGCCGATTAGAATTACATAATATTTCATTTTTGTATCTTATCTCTTCCTACCCAAATCGACTTAAATGGAATATATTTTAAATTTTTTTAGAAACCGGTACATTTTTAACAACTCATTTGACAAAGAATCTAACCAAATTTTTTTTGGTTACGAAGTACATACATTATAATTTTGTAAGACCACAATACCCCTTAACAATGATGTGTTTCTTCATTGGAGGCCTTGAAGCCGGTACAAAAATCACGGTTTCATCATTAAAGTCGGAGATAACTTCTCATGTCAGTATTTGAAATTTGAGCAAAGGCAAATAATTTTTTTTACAATCTACTCCCTATGGCTAAGCTTCACAATTATTTCCACCAGATAGATTTCGTTTATATAAACAAATTTAACTATTACACCCATATATGAATTATTTATTAGATAGGTTACTCGATATAACTCGTGTGTCACCCACAAAATAAGATAATAAGTTAGATTATTTTGAGTCAACACGAAAAATTATCAACTCAGTATATATTACACATGTTTGACCTGTTTACTATAACAATAAATCATGGCTAAGCAAAAAATATAAAGACAAACAATAATTATTAAATAACTGCTAAATTTGAATGAGTCAGAGAAATGGGAGGTGTGAGATGAGGTAGAGGCTGAGAGACTTAACTTGTTTTTTAAAAATTTATAATACAATTATTAACGGGTTAAACTAGTTGAAACAAAATTATGGGTTAGACACGAAACTAATTCGTTTATTTTATTGGTCTACTTAGTTAACTCGTTAACTACTCGAATTCGTTAAGAGTACACTAAAATCTACTAAATCTGTGCCGATTTTATGAGTCGTGTCTAAAATTTTTAAGCCTACTTATGACAAGACTTCCTGATACAATAAAGGTGGGAGCCTATTTTGTAAAAGTTTCCTTAATACACAAATTTGAATTCAAAATTCAAACAAAAAATTTAAAATAAATATTGTGAATATATGCCAAATTTATAGAAAACTGAAAATTTAAGAGTCCTCTCCTATGGTTGGATTGGATTGGATATTGTGGAATAATCTAAACTGTTGTTTATGGGGGCATATTTATAAAATTCAACTTTCTAATTATTTTATTATATAGATATACACGTATATATTTAAATTTTTAAAAAAATTCAAATTATATATATGTACATATATCCATATATATACACGTTAGACTAACACAATTCTTTAGTGTCACTCTTTTTTGGATTATTTTTGGTGTCACTCTTTCCATTCACACTATGAACCACAAATATATGACTTTTATTTTTTGCCATCATTCTTTGGTGTCACTCTTTTTTAAAATGTTTAGTTTTTGGTGTCACTTTATGCCGCCACTTAAAAATGAATAAAAAAAATCAAACCTAGTGTGTGAGAATTAAAGAAAGTCGTGAGTATTTAATTATTACAAAATTCGATTGTGTAATTAACAACACATAAAATTTGTATCTGTTTTTTTGAAAACAAAATCTATACGATGTTTTCTTGGATAGGATGAAATTTGGTGGCTACTTGAAGAAGATAGAATTCGTAAATGGCTGAACGGAGAAAAAACAAAATGAATGTCGTTGATGTTTTAAAAACCAAAATCAATACAATATCTTCTTGGAGAGGATGAGAATCGATGGTTGCTTGACGAAAATAGAATTCGTAAATGAGAAAAAACAAAATGTTGGCTGACAAGAATATAAATGGAATAATTTCAAAATTTAAATGGTTAATTATTCATTAATTTAGGAAATCACTTATCTAATAAAACAGGATCAAAAAATAAGAAAACTACCAACTCTTGCATAAATTAAGTAAAAGGCAATTATGTACTACAAAAATATGCCTGGTGAACAAATGTTTCAGGGAAGGTGGACTTAATGGCTAAAAACTCTGGGCCATGTACTTTAAGAGTAACTAGTAGCCCCATGCAATGCATGGGCAATTATGATATTAATTCATCAGTAATTATCCGTGCTTGAAGGCACTACGTTACTCATAAAAAATTATAAATATTTTTTCATAAATAAAGGCAATGTATAATACAATTTCAATAATATAGTGATTAAATTTATATTATTCAACCTATATGCAGAACATATATAATCAAACATTTATATAACGAAAGTCACGCTACAACTACTGCAACACATTAATTCAAAAATTTGAGAAAATATAATTATTATTGGTTATTTTAATAAACTTTATCTCAAATTTTAAAAAAAAATATAACTATTTGTTTACCTGCATGTTTCTACCTAAAGTTCATAACATTATCTCTGTATCATTTTTTTGAATGTGAGTTTCGTGTAACTTTTGTGAGGAAAACATCAAAAAGTTTCATATGAATTCTCGTAGATGTAAAAAATTTTGTTGAGTAATTAAAATTAGTTTTTATTTAAGTTCAACTTAAATATTTGTAAAATTCAATTGAATTTAAGTTTGCACAAATCTCTATTCCCACCTTATTTAATTTCTCATTATCAAACTATTAAGTTCACTCCTTCTATATTCACTCTATTAATAATTAAGTTCACCTCATGCTACATACATCCCGTTTAATAAGTAAACTCACCTTATATTTTGTCATAATTAGAATTTCATTCTTTATTTCATCTGATGCACTCACAAAAATGCTTTTTAATATAAATTTTTTCAGTAAGATACATGTTAGTATTACTTTTCAATTTAATTATATATTTGATTTTATGTTTGTTGTATGAATTTTTATTATTTTCGGTATGTTTTGATATCTCTGTCAAGTTTAATAATTTTTTTTTATTTAGAATGTATGTGTGTGTGTGTGTGTGCGCTTTTCAGATTATTTGTTATTTTTTTTAATCTTGTTTAGGTTTATTATTTATGCTTCCTATTTTTTTCTTGTTCAATTTTGCATTTGTGCTTGATACATTTTTTTTTCACGTTTGGTTTTGCGTTTTGTGATTTTATGTTTTGTAATTTTACTTGTGTCATTTAATTTTTGCTTAGTTTTTTTAATTCTTCTTATTTCAGTTTACTTCTTTCTTTCTCTTTTTTTTTTCCTCTTATTTCGTTCTTTTCATTTTAAAAATGATGTATGTAGAATGAGATGAATATAAAAAGGGTAGCTTTAGTAGTTTAATAATAAGAAATAAAATAAGGTGAGAACAGAAATTTGAGGGTGGGAATAACCCCACCCTTTAAGTTTTAGCAAAAATTTATACTTTATACATGACAGTCAAATTCAATTCAATTCAAGTCTTAATTATAATTACGTCAAACCGAGAATTGAATTTAAGTTCGACTCAAATTCTACAAACTAATTCTTGTATATTCTTGTTCACTATGATGTCATAACTTTTTTTTTTAATTTAGTTATTCTTTATTTTTTTTTACAATCAATTTGACTTTGATTGTAAAAATAATCATAATCACTTCAAATAATAATTATAAACACTTCGCATCGATAATCGAGTAAAATGAAATTTGGAGGAAAAATTTCGATCATTTGATCAATAATTTTAAAACAATCTAAGTAAAGAAAAATTCAAGACAAATAAAGATAGTCCCCTTAGTATATAGATATATCACATTATATATATATATATATATATATACTAGTCATTACCCGTGCCTGAAGGTACTTTTAACACAAAAAATTTATCAAACAAATGGGACATCCAAAAATGTCTTAAATAAAAGAAGTCCAAGGATTGAAATAGAAAAATTATAATACATTAACACAATTCGAAAATCCATATAAACTTAAATTAACACCCTTACAAAATTATTCAGGCATATATTTCTTCATGACGACTCTTCTTTTCAATGAGTGTTGATTTTTTCAACCTCTTGATAAATCTAATGAATAGATTTTTTCTAGTTTGTATTGAATTATAATCAAATTTCAAAAAATAGAAAAAATACTTGAACAATATTGTCCAACGAATCTGCTTGTAGCTGCAAGGACAATTGATTTAAATTATCTGTTACTATGATTTCTCGGATGCTACAGAAATATTTTCACGCTACAATTAAACCAAAACAAAAAAAAATCAAAATTTCACTACTTAAAAAAAATTGATTTAATTGACATTTTTATTGTTTTGGTATCTATTTTAAACTATTCAAGTATTTAAAAAATATG